CATGGCCGCCAACCTTAGAATCTACAAGGGAAAGAAAAGGCAAATACATTTGTAGTTGGACAGCAGGAAACACAGAACAAGATACAAAAATACATCCTGTAAAAAAGACGAAAAATTTCTGAGGTGTGTTTTTGTGATCACATACAGTATATGCATGAAATTTAGTATATTTCCTTCCCCTACCGTGACCAAGTAACTGGGTGTGTGTTGTCTCCTGGAAGATGATAACCGCAGGCCCGAGAGAAGAGAGGGGCACGTCCAGACCACAGCGGCTGGAAAGAGCTCTGAGCTCCGGGGTGAAGTGCTTCAGGTAGGCCCCTGAGGCGCTGCTCAGGAACAGGAACATGTCGTTGTGCAGGCGCTCTGCCCGTGTACGATAGACTACTATATCAGACACTGCCAATACCTGTGAAAGAAGGGAGTAGATCTAAGACAGAAGAAGCATCTATGACCTACATCCAAACAAACAAGACGCATGGAAAAATGGAATATAGATGTCAGCGTGCAAGGATTAGCTGACAAATTACAGTGTGAGTGTAAGGAGAGGTACAGAGACATTTAAGATATTCTGAACACACAACAGCACTCTGAGGTACTCAGAAAAACTTCTTTCCTTTCACGCAAATGTCTCGAATTCTACTTTCAACTGCCCCAGACATTACTACCACTGTCCCAAACTGAGGTTCTTGTTCCTTTTAATGACGATAATGAATATAGTTTAATAACTTTGTTTCAATAACATGCATCACCTCGGTGACTCACTCTGGTCTAACCATACAGGGATATCGTATTTTTGAAGCAAAAAAGGTTTAAAAAAAATCCAAAAAGGGAGGCAGAAGAATGAACTTCTCAATTATCCACACGTTCAAACAAACTATTTACATGTAAGCTATAGGAACACACTAAGAGAGCAAGAGTACGAGGGAAGGTCAAACAACTATTTACATATTTACAAGCTATAACAACATCCAAATCCAGAGATCTGCTGAGAAACAGAGAGAAAGAAGGTCAAGCATGCCGCACATGCCCACACCTCCTGACTGCCTGCGCACGGCACAAGAGGAGAAGGAGAGACCTGAGCGCGGTTGGAAGAAGACTGCGTTTACTGTGAGCTGCAGGCGTGGGACTGAATTATAATATATTTGAATATATTTCTCGCCTTCACCCTGAATAAGCTGCTAAATTTGTAGCCCGTCACTTTTTATAATAAAGTCGCTGAGAGGGTCTAAAAGTCGCTATATCTAGCAAGAAAGTCACCAAGTTGGCAACATTGATCTAATTCTGATTATGTGTGTAAGCTGATGTATGACGGAGCATAGAGCTTGAGCTGGTGCCACCTCACATTTTTCAAATTTGAACAACTAACAATTAAAAGATGTATATTCTATGACGCACAAGCGGAAGAATTTAATTTGTAAATAATTATTCTACTTTTCATTCACTATGTGTTTGTGGCTCAGGTGCTATGTTTAATGTCACCGGGACAACAGGACATTCTTACTGTTGAGCACTGCAGAAATATTGTTAATTGTGTGTGGAAGATATATAAAAGAATACACTCTATTGTTTGTTTTAATACACAAAACTGGTAAGTTCCAAGATTCACAACACGTTTCACTATTTTACCAGCTGACTAAATGTACAGCTGTACTTGATGTGTGTCCATACCCTCCTCACAGCTGTGTGCTGATATAATCACATGGCTCTGAAGCAACACTGAGCTGGACATGGGACTCTTGAGATGCTATAATAAAAT